CAGCGGGGGCACGGGGGGCCCACCCGAAAAGAAGGATGCTCCCGCACGGCAGCGTCCCCGGAGCCCCGGGCAGCGAGGACCCGGAGGGGACAGGCTCACCTTGAGGATCTCCTGGTGGTTTTCGGAGGCGTAGAGCCTGCCGTCCCGCACGATGTCCTCCACCAGCTGCTCGTAGTCCTCTGCAACACCCGGCCGAGAAACACGGTCAGGGCGTGAGCTGTCACTTGTCCCCAAACCTCTGGTCCCCATCTCTGAGTCCACTCCCCCCCAAATACACTGGAGGTGTGAACTGGGGGTGACCCGGGTCGGGCACTGGGCCCCCCCCTGCAGCAGCGTGCCGGGACGGTGTCCCCCTGCGCTCACCGTCGTAGGCGACGTAGGGGATCTGGAAGCCCCGGCTGCGGATGGTGGGCCCCCCCCTGCAGCAGCGTGCCGGGACGGTGTCCCCCTGCGCTCACCGTCGTAGGTGACGTAGGGGATCTGGAAGCCCCGGGCGCTGTTGGCTTCGCTGGTTTTGAAGTTGATCCAGAGTTTCCGAGAGCGGGCGGTGAAGGCGATGGGCCTCTCGTAGGTCTGGCACGTCTCGTAGGTGGTGATGGAGGATGGGGAGGCTGCGGGGGGGCGGCGAGGGGCCCGTGTGATGCTGAGTGCCCGTCAGCGGAGCTACCGTCAGCTTTGCTGTGCTCGAATGCTCAGGGCGAAGAGGGGCACCAGGGATGGGGACTGCCCGTGTCTGGCAAGGCTGAGCCCCCCCCGACCCTCACGTTACATACCTGGGGCGTTGTTATTCCTTCCTTGCTCTGAGAAGCTCCAAATGGGGCTTTCTGCCCCCAGAACAAGTGCTGAGACCCAGGTGTGCAACCCAGCCCACGCTTAGCCCATGCACATCACCTTGATCCAGCAAGTCACCGGGGAGGCAGGGCGATGCTGACCCCCCCCCCGTTCCCCCAAATCCCCCCAGTTCCCCCAAATCCCCTCCCGCTGCCCAGGGACGCGGCTCTCTCCCTTCGCACCAGGCAGCGCTGCCAAACCCCAGCCTTTTCCTCCCCCGGCTCCTCCCGTGAGCACCACGGTTACCTACAGTTTTTCCGCATGACCAAGACGTCGCCACACTCGTCCTCGGAGGGGAGGAAGATCTCCGGCACCACGATGAGGATCTTGCGCTTGGGCGGCGGGTTGATGTTCCAGGTACACTCCACGTTGGCGGGGTAATTCCCTGGGTAGTTGGGGGACTCGATGTAGCCCGTGTATTCACCCAGCTCTCCCCCACACTGCCGATCTGCAAGGCATGGAGAGCCGGTTAAACTGGGAACCAGTGGCATGGGCACTGGGATAGGAGAGGTTTACGGGGCGAGGGGAAGGATGTTCTCTATTAGCACTGCTCCACGCATCCCTCCACGCCTGCCTCCTGCACGCACAGAGCACAAAAATGACACATAACTCTATTTTAAGGGATTTAAAAATAATTTTAAGGAAGGACCCCAGTTCACGCCATACCTGTCCCCCCCCTCCATCGCACCCCAGCTCGCCTACTTTTGCACTGGGACACAGAGGTGGAGCCGTCGAAGTCGGTGGTGGTGTTGCCAGGACAGGTGATGCAGTAATTCTGCCGAAAATCGGGTTGGTAGGTGCCCACGGCGCAGCGGATGCAGCGATGGACGCTGGTGTTGTAGTAATGCCCAGGGGAGCACTGGACTGGGGAGGGGGTCAGAGAGCAAAGGGAGCTGCCCCAGCCACCGACACGGCCCCGCTGGGTGCCCCCCTCCCCGGGGACCGGCTCCGACCTACCCTTGGTGTCGCAGTCCTGGAAGGAGAGGGCTCCCTCGTGACGGGTGCTGAGCCCCCCGCCGCAGGGGAAGCAGAGCGTCCGCCCCC